ATTACCTAGTCATCGTGAATACAAGGTTTCGTAAACGTGACTCTCACATCATCAGCTCCGACAGTGGGAGTATCAAAACGCAGATCGACTTCGTCCTTGTTAGACATCGCGACCAGGGACTCGCCACGGGTGCGAAGGCTGTACCCTACGAGACAGCTGCCACTCAACTTCACTAATCTGTACGTTAAAAATCGCAACGCCCAGGCCCAAACGGGTGGTTCCGAGAGAAACAAGTGGTGGCATTTGAAAGAAAAGGAGGCAGCTGTAATCTCTCGTATTCGACTTCCCACCGTCACGACTGTCGATGACACCTGGAAAAGTGTTGCTAAGGCGATCAAGGAGCCGCTGGTTCCGAACTTGGCATCATGAAGCCTGGAAGACGTAGATTTGATAAGCAGCCATGGCTGTGGACCGACAATGTCAAAGAAACGGTTTGCGAGAAGAAGAAGAGCTACAACCCCTCTCTTGGCGACAAGTAAGCTAATAACTGGCATAAGTACAAAGAGGCGAGGAATGCAGCGAACAAGGCTGTGGCTGCATCGAGGGCCACCCACTTCCGTAAGGAACTGGATTCATGTGATGGAGAGCGGCACCTCTACCGCTTGCCAAGGCTCGGCATCCAGACCGAAAACGTCGACAAGTTCCCTGGCGTCAACGACGAGTGTGATCGTCTTCTTATGCACCGGAAGAGGTGCTGAGGCGATGGCACGACATCTCTGAGAACATTTCAATCGTATGCGCACCCGTCCCTTTCGCCCCCAGAATAGGTCCTTTCAGAAGATAACCGTAAAAGAGACGGAGGCGGGTCACAGAAAGATGAAATTGCTGGTACCTTGCAGAATGATTGACGAATTTCTACAATCAGGTCGTTGCTAAGAAGAAGCATAAGGACTGATAAGAGAGCAAGATGATCCCGATTTGGAAGGAAGAAGAAAGGTAGCCCTGTGGACAGCTCGAACTACCGTTCAATTCGCCTAGTGTCACACAATAAAAAGTCTTCGAGCGAATTGTCGACGGTCGTACACCTGAAATCGTCCAGCTTTCAACCAAGCAGTGCAGCTTTGTGGCAGGAATCGTCCAGCTCTCAATCAATCAATGCGGAATTGTGGCAGGCTGTAGCACCATCGACGCTATAATGCCGCGCGACTTCTGCTGAAGACACATCGTGAGAAACAAAAGCCACTGCATCCAGCTTTTCTGGTCCTGGAAAAGGCATTCGATCGTGTGCCGCGCGAGTTATATGGTACGCCTTGCGGCAACACGGCGCTAGAAGAGCTTATTGAGAAGGGGCGCATCCCAAACAGCCGCGTGAGCAACAACAGGCACTTCTCAGGAATTTCCCATCACGGTCGGTGCATATCTAGCGCTCTCCCCACTAATTTTCGTGGTCGTCTTGGATGTCATCTCGCGAGCTCTTCAGAATTCCAGTCCTTTGACGTTTCTCTACGCAGATGATGTGGAGCTCGCCACTGAAGATAAGGGCAAAGTGCAGGTGCAAGCTTGGTCTGATCGCCTTCCACACTTTGGACTCAGGCTGAACATCAAGAAAACTGAGTACTTGACGATCGACACAGATGAGTTCGATTCCATTAAGATCAGTGGTACGAGCTCACACGCACAAGAGCCTTCAAGTATCTCAGATCAGAAATTGCCTTCGATGGAGTCTGACCTCAGGGAACAGCTCTCGCGTGAGTGCAGCGTGGGCGAAATGGCGCTCGATGACTGGAGTTCTCTGTGATAAGACCATACTAGAGCGAATCAAATCCTCAAATCGAAGATCTATAGAACCGTGATCAGACCAGTAGCGTTGCACGGGACTGAGTACTGGTCTGCAACCAAAGAAGTCGAAGCCCGCCTTAGCGTGATGGAGATGAAAATGCCATGTTGGACGGCCGGTGTCACGCGTATGGATTGAATCTGCAAGGATGACATACGCAAGAAGCTCGGCGTAACTTCCATAGCTGATATAATGACAGAATCTCGTCTTCGATGGTATGGCACAAACTCCGCGCTTATACGGACAGCGTCTGCAAGACTGGTCTCCAGCTCGAGGTGCTGTTGAGGCGGCAAACGACCCAAAGAACGCCCAAGGCAACGATGAGAGCGGCAGCTTTTGTGCCTTGCCATATAGCGCCCTATCACCATTGCCGTCAAGTTATTCAGAAGGAAATCTATGACAAGTGTGTGTATTGCCAATGAAAGTACCACAGCTATGAGCAACTAGTTCATCTTAATGGACTAAGCAGCTCATCAGTCCGCACAGAGTGCTTTTTCAAAGGTAATGTGTCTTTAAGTGGCAGTACGAATTTGAAAGTCCATTTTATGGCTCAACCCATTGCGAGGTAGTACTGATCCCATTGCCCCACTCCATAGTTGAGTAAGCAAAGAGTGCCTGTTGAAGGTATTCCGAGGTTTTCGGCAAATGTGTCGGCAACCATGCGATCACATCAGCTTTGCCAGCTTGACACACTGAACGCCGCGCTTAACTGCGATCCATGCTGGAAAAAGCTGCCTGTCCGAGCGCGTTAATTTCTCGCAATTCATAAAAACGCGAAATGGCAGTCTTTAGGCCGTCTGCATATTACTACCTCAAATTTTCGAGCTTTCTGGACAATTTAGCGTATCGGGTTGTATAGGGACCAATTATGGATGTCAGAAAAACCGGTATGGGCCCGTAAGAGACGAGCCTTGTAGGATGAGTGAGCAAGGGAGGGGTGTAGACCTACGGAACACCGCGCCAGAATGAAAGAGGGCAACATCCAAATGACCCTTTTCAGTGTGAGTAAAAGTACTCCTAACGTCTTCCCCGATGGATCCCTGTTAGTGCTCCTATTTTCTTGTTATACTAGTCATCACTAATATTGCTATTCAAAAAGACTGTTCATTCAGTGTTATGTGACGAGAACCTGGCTTCAATAAACTTTTAGCTATACGGTGGGTCTTCACCACCCTACAATGCGTAACAAGAGTATGTGGACACCCCAAATTTTGACGTGCGGCAGCCTTCTTTCGAAATTCATGCAATCTAACGCGCTAAGGCTATTTGGGGTCCTGACCACGAAAATGTTATTTTTAACGGAAGCGCTATTTTCTCGCAGCATGACAAATCTGGCGGAGTTGAATATTATAACTGACCAGGAAAGGATGTTTGGTCGAAGTGACCATTCGGGATGAGATGTATACCATCCTATGCGCTTCTGGAAGCTGATTACAAATCTGCATCCCATTCTGCTAAACGATTCTCTGAGCAGTTATGTAGGTTTTTGTCCTGGTCACCCGTATTTTCATCATGCATGTAAGGCACAAGAAAACCCGGATATTCGCACAAATTCAAAACTAAAGGTTGTCTGGGGCACCAAGGAGTAACACTACAGTCACTTCTCATGGGTATCGTGTTCGTATCACGGGATGCCGTCTTTTTGAGCGACTGTGACGTTAGAGAGGACGAGGGTGTGCAGCAGCCCGTAGCGCAAGATGCAAGCGTTTTTGCCCTGAATGAGGTGATATTCGTGTTCTGGGATCAGTTTAGCCATAAGGACAAGTACATCCCTTATGGCCGCTGGCACTATCCTAGATAGAATCCCAGTGGGCATTAGAGTATTTTCGCTAATTTTCGAACCTCGTTGGTAACTGAGGGTCCCGATCACAAGTAAGACCATCATTTTTGGCGGCCGTGCCACTTGGCGTTTTAGGCGTTTTGGCGTCACTTTGGCCATACAGCATAACGCAGAATGATGGCGCCGGGAAGGAACGAATGAAGACATTTGAGGTATCCCTCGAAACTCTTCCAGAATGGCCCCATTAATACAGAAGCAACTTTCTCGGCAAGATTGGGTCTCCTAGCTACGTAAGACTAGTTTTGAAAAGTGCAGGGAACATTTTCAATAAAATGCAAAAGAAGTATCTAGTCAAGGATTCGAAACATTGACCATGAGACCGATCGCTTATCCACTGGGCTATCCAACACGTTCGATGTCCAATCACGCATCGTTTGTATACTTGTTGAGCACTGGCCGGGTTGAGCAGTGGTCAGTTTTACACAGTTCCATAACTTTGTTCGGAGAATCGTTTGGCAGATTTGAAGCCACTGTCCAAAGACGCCTCGATCGATATACATCTCTTCAAATGGCCCTTCGACCAGCCATCCTGTCCCGGTGAGTATGCTCAGTAATTCTCAGGTACAAAAAAGGAGTGAAGAAAGGTGTTCATATCTAGGGCTTATTTCACGCCATAAAAAAATCCAGCATCAGTAAATAAAGAGCAACACACTTCTCAAAAAGAATAAGCATACTTTCGTTCATTACCGAAAAAACAACGTTGAAAGAGTGCATGCACTAACATGCGAAACGGGAGTGAGCGTGTGCGTAGTTGCCAACATACGCAGCGTTCAGTGCATTAAAAATTTTTTCGGCAAGTGGCGGCTTTACGAAATAATGTATTGGCCACAGAAATATCGTGTTCTTGTATCTATGAGTGAGGCTGTATTCATTTGAATGTCGGAATTTCGCTTCCCCAAAAATGCTCTGCGTTACTTTGGTGCTGAAGCCGTGGTGGTATCACTCATATACAATCACGATTCCTGCAAATGAAACACGATACGGTGTGAAGGAGCGTGGATTTAGGCACAGCCACAGTGGCCTTTTCCACCAATGATGCCATCCTAATATCACAACCTGTCGTGAGAAGCTGTCATGGCTGCGTTCAGATCCCTTACACGCGCCCCTCGCTCGAATGTATCTTGACTGTAGCTCTTTCCCCTGCGTTTTAGAAAATCCTCCCCAAGTAATCCCGCTTATCGTTTTGCAGAACATTCTTTCCGGTCAAAGTTACACCCACCATTTCGACAAAGGGTAGAAGACTTCCCTTCGCACTTCGGCCTGTTTGATAAAGGGGTCGAACGGACAATGTCTTTCCCGGCTAAGGCGTAAATTCATAATGGTGTTCCGATCCACAGCCTCGCGAAAGATAGTTAAACCGATCTACTCACCATGAACGTACGACTAGTTCAAATAGAAGAAAGCAGAATAGTAATCCATGCAAGATGGAAAAAAAAACTGAGAAAATGCCAACCGTTCCTTCTCCGTTCTTTCTCGTGCTATGAGATCAAGCTTGTCGCGTGAACGTCTGTCGTCCTGTAGAAAAGTAAAAATACTGTTGGAAAGTGCCTGAAGGGAATTATTGCACTCACGCGTTGCCGGGCAGCAGCTCGTGCTTCCGCTTCTCTCCGTTCCCGTTCTCTGACCTCTCGGTTTCTTTTTTCCTTCTCTCTGAGTTCGGTTAGACTGCGCTCTTCCTCGAGTCTTGGAACGATAAAATAAGACTAGTTGAAAAATGACAAAATAAGACTTCAACAGTAATAGAACACTACTAAGTGAATGAGTGAAGTGAATGAGTGAGTGATACCTCTCAATCTCCCGTCGTTCGTTGGCCTTTCTTTCCATTTCCACCATTTCCAACGCTTTTCTATCCAACTCTTCCCTTTCGCGTTCTCTTTCCAAATCAACTTCGCGTTGCAGCTTACGAGCTGTGGCAGCTCTTTCCAACTCGTAGGCAATGAGCCTTTCTTTCTCTTCCTGCTCCCTTCGTTTCCTTTCCCTTTCGGCAGCAGCTCTTCGTTCTGCATCTCTTCGGGCTTTCTCTCGCATTTCTTCCTCCTGCAGTTTCGTCTCCCTCTGCATGTCCTCTAGACGTTCACGCTCGCGTTGCTCCCTTTGTCTCATTTGGGCTTCGAAAAGCTCTCTTTCCCTTCTTTCGTCCTCGAGGCGTTCTTTCTCCCTTCTTTCAGCCTCTGCTCGTTCTATCTCCACTCGCTGTTGTTCTTTTCGAATACGCTCCAACCGTTCTTTTTCTTCTCTCTCTTGCATTTTTCGCAATCGCTCGCGTTCTACAGCCCGCCTTTCTATATCAGCTAGAAGATGGGCTTCACAGCGTTCTTCTTCCTGACGACGAGCTTCTTGTGCTTCGTCAGTAAGTCGTTGTTTTTCCCGCTCAACAGCTTCTCTTCGCTGAATTTCGATCAGCTCTTGTTCTCGGAGCGCGAGCTCTTTTCGCTCTCGCTCTAGACGCTCAAGTTCTTCCCGTTGCTGACTAATTCTCTCTTTTTCCTTTCTTTCCCTTTCTCGCTCTCGTTGTTCCATTTCAAGCCGCTCTTTCTTGATTCTTTCGATCCTCTCGATTTCGATTTTTTCTCTTTCGATGCGTTCTCGCTCAGTCCTTTCCTTTTCAAGGCGTTCCCTCTCCCTACGTTCCTGCTCAAGTTTTTCACGTTGTATGTGCTCCTTTTCTCTTTCAAGACGAATACGTTCTAGTCTCTCCGCTTCAGCCTTTTCACGTTCAAGACGATCGTTCTCGATTTGTCTTTTCCTAGCGAGTTCTTTTTCTTCCAAATCTCGACGTTTATTCTCTATACGCTCCCATTCAGCACGTCTCTGCATCTCTGCCTTCTCTCTTTCTGAACGATCTTTGTCGATGCGCTCCAGTTCCTGTTGTTCTCGCTCGAGCGCCGAATCTTCAAGAGATTTTCGTCTTCGCTCTCGGTCCAGCCTAACGCGTTCGATGACCTGAATCTCAGAACGTTTGAAAAAAAATATCATTCTAACCTATCTACCTCACGAACCCCTCATACCTCCAACTCGCGCATTTCCCAGTCACGGCTTTCCTCATTTCTACGCCGCCTCTCCTCCTCTTCCTTTCTTCTTTTTTCTTGCTGGCCGCGTATTACACGTTCCTGCTCGTCAATGTCGTGGAGATAATTCACTTTTAAGTCGATGGTTTTTTTTTCACGAACGTTTGGATCAAGGTTCGTGACAAATACCTCCACTGGGGAGGAACGTCCAAGCGGTGGCTAAAATGCGAAATCCTTTGACATATGAATATTTGCATGGCATAACAAGCAACCACTAAAATGACACGAGAACAAACTGCGTTTTTCATAGGTGCTCAACGCTTCTATGGTCAACCTTGATTAAATATACAAATACATTCAACCTCGATTAAATATACAAATACATATGTGAAAGAACTATTGAAGATGATTTGTAAAATCAGGAACACTCGACAACAGCACAATCTGGAGTCGAATGCTACACATGTACTACAGCCTCGAGTTAACGCTTCCCCTTCCCGTCGTTGAGGTGAACACATTGTTTACCATTTTTTGACTTTTTTTGTGAAAAACGTTCCACAAGACTGTGGTAATTTTATTTAGTTACGGGCGAGTCGCTTCGATGATGTGCTTCGACTTGGCAGACACCGAAGGAGGTGATTCACGCCGATAAGTCAGCATGAAACGTCTTTATCAATCTCGGGAGGCTTATAAAGTATACTAGAATAAATCAGTTTCTCCAGTCTGACCAGGGAAGTCCGCCAATTTACCATTGAACTTTGAGTGGAGACCTAGGTAAATTGATAGTCTGTAATACTATTTACTGATATATTATCAAAGCAGCTACATGCATTTCACAAGTGAAGCTTCGTGCGTGCGCAGGGGGAGGAACCTTCGCAGGGGCACCGGGTAGCGACCCGCCCGACCCCGGCTGCCCTCACACGAGGGTTCACCTCTGAGGTCAGCCTGCCATCGGACACAGTGTCTAGCCCGAGGTACCTTGTGCGCGTGAGCTCGATGCTACATCTTAATGGAGATGGACCCATTTGAGTCCGTCGTCAAGCACACGGTTTACCTGGAGTTCAGCCTGAGTGCGAACAGTGCCAGGAGACCAGACCAGAAGTTTGCTATCTTTACTGGCGAGCACCACATAATCTGCGTTAAGTAGCGTCCATGGACTCGGTTTCTGAAGGTCAGGTGAGAGTGCATCCATGCGGCCACGAAAAGAAATGAAGGAGGGAGCAGAGCCTTGATGTACCCCGACTGACAGGAAATTCCTGCGAAGCGCATTTGAAGGATTGCATGAGGTTCTTTGTGTTGGAGTACAGGATGCGCACTCACTCAATAAGCTCTTCGGGAATGCCGTGTTGTCGCGAGGTACCATATAACTTCCGCGGAATACGATCGAATGCCTTTCCTAGATCCGAAAAAAGCCACATGCAGCGGCTTTAGCTTATCACAATGTCTCTGCAGCAGAAGACGCACGGCGTGTATTGCGTCGATGGTGCTACAGTCTGCCACAAAGCCGCACTGATTGAAGAAAGTTGGACGATTTGGCGAATACGACGGTCAACAATTCGCTCAACGATCTTCCTGCTGTGTGACAGCAGACGAATTGGACGGAGTTTGAACAGTCCGCGGGATTGCCTTCTTCTTCCAACACGGGATCGCTGTGCTCTCTTGCCAGTCGTTGGGCGTCTTCTTAGCGACGACCTAGTTGGAAAAAACTCGTCAACCACTCCCAGAGTAGCACCTGAGACATCGGCTGCCACGTCATCAGGTCTTGTTGCTTTGCCCGACTTCATCTTTCTGAGGGCCGCCTCCGTCTCTACTACGGTCATCTTCTGAGCGGGACCGTATACTGGACAGACGAAAAGGATGGCCGTGTGTATACTCTGTGGTTGAAATATTTTCAAAGATGTCGTACCATCGCCTCAGCATCTCTTCTGGTGCATCAAAAGACGGCCACACTCGTCGTTGACGCCAGGGAACTTGATGTCTTCGGTCTGACGATGCCAAGCCTTGGCAAGTCGGCGAAGGTGCGATTTCCATTGCGTGAATCCAATACCATAACGACATCTTTGAAAGGCTGCTTTCGCAGTAGCCACAGCCATCTTCGCTGCACTCTTCGCTTCTCTGTACTTCCACACTTAGTAGCTGACTTGTCGTCAATAAACGCGTGGCAGCGACTTTTCTTCTCGCGAAACGTTCTTTTGACATTGTCGGTAAATAATAACGGCTGCTTACCCTTTTCACGACTTCCTGGCTTCGTTACGCCGAGTTGGGAACGAGTCGCCCCACGTATTTCTTGGGCAGCACCTTTCCAGGTCTCGTCGACAGTGGTGAAGGTGGGAAGTCGGATACGAGGATTTACAATTTCCGTTGCTTTCACACGCCCACTCACTTCTCTCGGGACCACACCGCTCGACCTGTTTTGTCCTGACGTTGCTATCTTGGACTGCAGTCTGCTGGCGATGTTGCGAGGAACTGTCTCGTATGGAACAATCTCCGCATCTGTGACGAGCTGGTGTAGAGATATTGTTGGGAACTATACGGTAGGGTTACTGTAAAGTACTGTAAAGTGGGCGAAGCCCCGCCTCTATCGCCTGGCGCTTAGCGGCGTGACCCCACTTAATTACCTAGACTGGCTGACCTGCTGACCTTCTACAAGAGGCCTTTCAAAGACAAAGAGATAAACCAATTGCGATTGATTTTATACCTTAGGGAAAAAATTCACTAGACCGTGACCTTTCACACCTGCACGGAATAAATAAATAAGTGGTCAAAAACATCATACAACACACCTCACCACTGTGGAGCATGTTTCCAACATCCTACTACAATGATCTTTCTCAGGACAGTTTCACCCAATCACTCTGCATTGGTTATATAACGACGGGCTCCTTAAACCTTGTGAGAGCTCTCCCATCTACTTCCTCGGTCCATTGATGGTCTATACTCGGCTCCGGCCCACGCGAACGGTTTTCTCACCAACTCCATGCAAGCACCAACACCTGCACTACTCATCTCACTCCACAGCACTTCTCCCCCCATATTTTCAGGTTACGAACCTTCCACGGACGTCTACTACACTGCAACCTCCGTTCCCTCCTCCACCTCTCTCCCCTATTCAGTGCCAACAATCCGCACCTTCCTTCCCCAGCTCCCCCTTCTCTCCCCTATTCAGTGTCAACAATCTACATGTTCCTCCTCTCCTCCAGCTCTCTCACCTGTTCATTCTCAATAATTCGCACCTTATTCTCCAGCTCCTCCACATCTTCCACCGAACGCTCCTTCAGTCTCAGTTTCCCTTCACTCACCTCCTGCACGTGCAAGTACTACGCACTCCACCTTTCCAGACTCTTTCCTTTCGGGTACCGAACCCGATCAGACAGCTGCGAGAAGATACTTTAGTGAAAAACGGGTAAGCAAATTAGGGAAGCATGATGTGCTTGTTTAGTTTACAAAATTCCAGGAACCCTACGTTCGTTCACATTCTACCGATCGCATGTGAGCAAGAACTGGTAGAATTATGGTTGCGCACATTGCCTAAAGGAAAGGAGAAGACGTGGGGAGCAGGGATCAGGAGGATATATCAAGGTAAAAAAATTGGAAAAAGAAACCTTCGATATAGACTTCTCTAGCACTGTTCAGGTGATTGGGAGTGAGTTTTTGCGTGATCCCTGCCAAATGGATCATGAATGCATACCTGCCAAGTACGCTGAAGAATTAGGGAATAGACATGTGTACAAGGTAAGAAACAATAGTGTAGAAGCCTTGTTAAGAAGTTATATGTAAACTTATTTTCAGGAGCTTCAAAACATTAGGTGTGATCCTTCCAACGCGGAGAAGAAGCCTGCCAGGCTTTACCTGGAGATGCTCACGGCACCATTTGAGGCCGAAAATGGTGAATCCTTTGAGAACTTATTTCTCAGTTCTGCGAGTATTACTGGCACATTACAGAAGGAATGGAGGACGCTATTCGGGCCGCTATTCGCAGCTCGGGATACAAGTCCAGAAGACAGCTATTTCGAAGCAGGAACAAGAGTCTTTCTGTTTCCACCGTCATTATGCTCTAGTGACCAAGTTCAAACGCGCGGGCGTGTGAGTTAATAGAATTGTTACCATGGAACATGTGCCATCGGAGTTCCGCACCGCGATGGATCCCAGTTCCTCCACTATCAAACTCCAGACTTTCACATCTACTACTCCTCGGCGAACTAATACATTTAGTTACAATTGACATTTACGGAAGGCGTGTGAATGGGCTACACAGCATCGTCGCAGATGGTAACACATTACATCCAAAACCACTAGGACGCCAAGCCCAGCTTTATTGCGTTCATGGGGTGTGTTCTGAAGGAGTCGAGGTCCCGCTCCTTTACTGCATCACCTCGAAAAAAACTGAAGGGATCTACTTGAAAATCTTCGACGAGCTGGAGACCAACATCGTAGGCGATGTCCCCCACCGTATAATTCCCGATTCCGAGAAAGCGGTTGTGACATCTGCTCGCAAAACCTTCCCGAGGGAATCAGTAGAAGGCTGTGCCTTCCACCTTGCTCAAGCGTGGACCCGCAAAAGGGATCACCTCGGCCTGAGGAAGCACATGCAAGGATTTGGGAAAGATGAACCAGTTGTTCAATGGTGGAGCACAATCAAAGGTAAACTTCCATGAAATGCCATATTTTCTGTGTTTCAATGATGCGTTTTCAGGTGTTGTGTTTCTACCCCGTTCATTGCTGCCGCAAGTTGGGGCTCTTCGAAGGTCGCCGGTTCCCAGTGGGGTGGTGCGTGAGAAATGTGCTGAATTCCTCAGCTATCTTTGTTCAAACAGGCTCCGAGGCCCTTTTAAGGATATGTGGTACAAATGGAACGTGCAGGAACTGCGCATCACAAACTTGGCCGAAGCTTTTCATAGGTAGTGCGCTGGACGCACAACTACGAAGAACCTATTTCAAAAACTTTTTCCAGGCGGCTCGGTATCCTCATAGGGGTGGATCATCCTCCGTTGAGTTGCCTTATCGAAGGTCTCAAAAAACTCAATAATGAAGCGCGAGCAGCCCTCAAACGCCTTCAAGGTTGTAAGTTTATCATTCCATCACACAGGTCTTTTTTTTCCACAATGTTCTCTCATTTTTCTTCAGGATCCATCCCGAGCCAGAATGCTGCAGAGGCGTGATCAAGACAAGAGGAATGCAATAGCCGAAGAAATGAGAAGGTGAAAGTTCAAGCTTCGCAAAACGAGCAGTTGCCAAATCAGCAATATGCATGTCCTAAGTCGTCCTTGTTTCAGATTTGAAGAATGTTATCAAGCGGGGCCAAGTCAAGAACAGGTGGAGCAGTTCTGCAGGAGGATGGCCAAATATGTCACCAATTAGACTAGATGATTTTTGAGGCGTAAAAAGTTTTCTCTGATTCGTTATGTGAATTGTTCAAGTGTTAATAATAATAATAATAATAATAATATAATAATAATAATAATAATAACAATAATAATAATAGTAATAATAATGTTAGTTGTTAATAAAATAATAATAATTAATAATAATATTAGGTTGTCGCATAAGTTCTTATACACGTGTTTGATCCTCTCCTATTTCGTTCGCATGGATGTTGGTATTACGTCATCACGTGTAAGTGACGTGTACATCATACTCTTTCATTACACTAGCCATCAGTCACCGAGCTTGCATTTGCAGTACACAATGTCGCACAATTACCACTGACAGAATGTACCTGCGCCACTGCCTGGTTTTGCTTAACGATTCACAAAAGAAGCTTCGCGTTCTCAACTCGATGATCACTGGAGATGAGAAGTGGGTCCTCTACGATAACCTCTACGATAACCCTGTGAGGAAGCAGGAGTGGGTCGACAAAGGAGAACAGCCAGAAGCCACCTAAAAGGCCGACCTTCACACCAAAATGGTTCCCCTGTTCTGTTGGTGGTCCAGAAGAGGCATGGAGTTCTGGGAGCTGCTGGAGAAGGGACAGACGACCGATGCTTCCACATACGTGACCCAGCTGCGGAAAAGTGAATTGAAAGGTCACGTCGACCGTACTCGTGGAAGGAATGCGGAAATCTACTTCCACCATGATAACGCCCGACCTCACACTGCAAAGGCGACCCAGGCCGAGCTGGAGAAGTACGGATGACTGATGGTCACCCAACCCTCCCTACAGCCCTGACGTCGCTCCTTCTGACTACTGGCTGTTCAGCCACCTGCAGCGCTCTCTGGACGGAAAAAAGTTCGAAACAAAGGATCAGGCCAGAAAGGCACTCGACGATTGTCGTTCTGGAAGGAAGGAATCTACAAGCTGCCTGAGCGCTGGCGTCGAGTAGTGGATGGTGATGATGCATACCTCTAATCTTCAGGTTGGTTCGCTATTGAGATATTTACGAAAAAAGTAGTGTATAAGAACTTATGCGACAACCTAATAATGATAATAATAATAGTAATAATGATTATAATATTAGAATGTAATAAAATGCTTCATTTAATCGTTCAACCCCCATGTTTTGTATTTGCATTAGCGGCCAAGGTCAGCAATCGCCACACACAACTTAATGAGGTCACACCAGGCGATAATTAAAAGGGCGAGATACGCTCCGTCCTATCCTATAGTAACCTACCATATACCTGCCCAACAATATCTGCATACCCGTGACGAGCCCTTGGTCGCGATGTTTAACAAGTACAAAGTCGATCTGCGTTTGGTGCTCCCACTGTATAAGCTGGGAGTGACGTTTGCGAAACTTCTGTTCACGATGACCATGTTATGGGCTTCTGCATTCTCGAATTGGCTTGCCATTGGCGTTACGTGGTCCATAACAGAAGTCACTACCACAACTGTAGGCGTCTTTCGCAGCGCCTAAAAAATAACGACGTCTTCTGACAGTATCTCAGTTGTTTTCTACTCATGCACAGGCTAAAACTCTTCCTTGGATCGCTCCATACGTCCCATTTGTAGAGCGTATGCAGAAAAGAAGTACAGCCGTTGCTTGATAGCAGTAACAGTCTTCATCGAGCGATGAGTTCTAGGGCTCGCTATCCAGTAGCGGAGACGTCGAGAGACGATTATAGCCACTCCGCTGAGAGTCTTTGGTTTGTCACATAGGAAGGCTTCGAAGCCTCGTGTAATGTCCTCTGACTTACAACTGGATCACCTTGCTTCCTGCACAGCACACAGGTCTATATGTCTGTGCTACTGTACATGGCTTCAGCTAAGTAACGCCACTGGAGAGCGGAGGCTCCAGCTAGTTTGTCTCACCATCCCACTGGATGAAAAATACTACTAGAACGTGCATAGATACTCTATCATTGGTTTTAAACATTGCAGTTAACTTAAACGGACAAAATAATGAACGAATGAGTGAGACGTTTACAATCAGCAATAGAGATGCTATATAAGAAAGATATACACGAAAACAATAAATTTAAACTAATGAACAAAAACGCTCGACATCTCTGTCGGTTTCCCTATCACGAAACTTTCAAAATAGCGTACTATCGATCTGGGCGCATCACCTACTCCTCTAAATGAAAACATATATTACCATATGTACCATTTTTTACCTCAAATTCCCACTTTTCAAACCAGATTCACCATCACTTTCCAAATCAAATTAACCACACTTATTAGGGCAGGAACTCATCAACCAGGTCATGCCAGACACCACTGCGAGTCCCACCCCGACGGCCGCGCCTACTTGTCAGCGCGGACATGGATTTTCAAACCTTGTTTCATAACTTCTGCTTGCTATTTCCACAAACACTTCGACTGACCGGGCATTGACAATGCCCGACTCCGCCCATTCTCTGAAGGGTTTGGCAATCTACGCTCCGCCACCTTGACCACGCCCACTTGCTTTTTGATATTTTATAGAATTTCGATTTTTTTTTCAAATGCTGCGCTGCTGCGTGAAGCCCCCCCCCCACTGTGAGAGTCTCCGTCCACTTCAAAGACGCCCCGCTCACTTTTCAAAGAATTGTGCAAATCGGCAGTATACGGCCTTGGCTTGCATGCCAGGGTCTCGTACGTCACTCATAACAAGAAAATCAGGGAAAGTTTGTTCCAAATGATCAGCAATTAGCATGCCAGCCGAGACCCTATACTGCCAATTTGCATCAATTTTGAAAAGTGGGCGGGGCGTTTTTAAAAAGGGGCGGAGCCTCTCACAGTGGGCGGAGCTTCACGCAGCAGCCCTGAAATGCAAAAAATTTCAAAATTCCGCGAAAAGCAGGTGGGCGTGGTCAAGGGGGGGGGAGCCTAGATTGCCGAACCCTTTAGAGAATGGACGGAGTCGGCCATGTGTCAATGCAAAATCGTTTTCAGTCAAAGTGTTTGTGGGAAACAGCAAAAGCAGAAGTCATGAAACAAGATTTGAAAATCTATGTCCGCGCTGACAAGTAGGCGTGGAAGTCGGGGGTCTCGCAGTGGTGTTTGGCGTGATCTGGTTGATGAGTCCCCGCCCTAAGAAGTGTGGTGAATTTGATCCGTGAAGTGATGGGGAATTTGGTTCAAAAGAGGTGAATTTGTTTGAAAAGGGGTGAATTTAAAGCGAAAATGGTATATCTCGAAACCTGGGCAAGCTGGCAAGTTTTGTTCATATAGAGCACTAGTGCAGCAACAAACAAACTCGGAAACGGAAGACTCACCGCCTGCGATAACGTCTCTGTGCTCCTTGTGATTATGGTTCTTGTCATTACCTCCCTTCGATAGTATTCATCCTGAACAAAGTGAGCGGAAATATCTTCAGAAAATATAGCTATATACACACTTGTTACAATTGATAGGATTCAAATAATTATTCACTTGAATGTCTCCTTGATGGTAGGTACCAGCAACAGGCATCTTGCACTCGACAAAGACAGATGGACCACCCAACAAGGTTCGAAACAGGAATCTTGTGAAGTGTTTTACGAGACCGGGTTTGCACGGACAGAAGATCCTCACGCGACGAACGACTAGAAACTTTCAAGATATGTATGTGATTGGGTGAAGCGTAAGCAAGTTGGCCACGAAAAGTTCTCACTAAACCAGTAGAAAGTAGTAAGAATAATAGACATGATGATGAATAACGTTATATCGTTCTTCAAGAAAATTTATAAATATATAAGTCACACATGCTGGTGCATGCAATGATGCCAGCTTGAATACAACAATCGACATACACAATGTGCAATATACATACAAATTTCAGAGGAGAGGTTCATGAATATTATGAGTCATAAATAATACGAAAGACGAGAGTGAAACGTGGCTATACGGAGCGTTCTACATAAACGATAACCTAGTGAGGACTGTATTTGTTCGCCGAAGAGTACAGTGCGTTTCATGGTTATAAAGTCATGCCTCAATTCTACCTTTCCGTTTCTTCTCACTTCTCATTATCGCTCCGTTTTACAACTGTAATTATCATCCACTATATATAATTAGCTACGTCTGTTCATTTGTTTGCCTTTCAGGAGATTCGGTTCGCCCTGAAGAACAACTTCGGAGGGGTCGGTTCATGGAAGTGATGGGTATAGCATGTGACAAAATTTAGATAGCACCCGTGACCCATGGTAAGTCCCGCAAACAGTGGGCGCTGAAATTTGGCGATGTCACTGAAAAATTCATGATCCGGTTCCATAATCCCGAGATGGGGGAGCACTGCAGTAAAGTTAGCAAAGGTCTAACAGACCAGGTGGAGAGACATACCTGAAATGGGCGTGGCGTACTTGAGATGGGCGGCGGTTCCCACAAAGCCGCTAACTCAGCTCCCGAATCCAGACATCGCAGAAATCTGGGCATGCAGATATTGTTGGGCAAGTATACGGTAAGTTACTGTAGGATAAGGCGGAGCGTATCTCGCCCTTTTAATGATCGCCTGGGGGACCTCATTAAGTTGCGGTTCATCAGGGAAAACCACAAAGAGCGA